TGTTAGTTTGCAAAGATGCACTGAAGAGTGCTGAGGATAATCAGCGGCAGTTTATTAGTTGTAGATTTGCTGTACACCAACCTGCCTGGGAAAGTGTGCACACTGGTGCAATGGTGGATGATCGTTAAGGGGTAGACAATTACTTTCCAGTCCGAGTCCAATGGTGGAAATCATTTTTGATACTGTAAACCCAGTCAAAAGTCTGTAGTTAGGGTCTTCCGTCTGTACTTTTAACCACTGAGCCATCTTTCCATCCCTGAGGCTATCTTCTTGTATGCTATGAAATTATATACCACACTATTCAGGAGGAAGAAATAACATTTTCCCTGGAAGCATCCAGAAAAATGTTCCAATTCCACTATCCTAAAATGAGTCACATAACAAGGTCTGACTATCTATTAGGGAATACAATTATCCTGATTGGCTGTATCTAGAAGTCAGTTAACATCCAATAAATCTATGCCCTGCCTGTTAACCAAGCAAAACTTAGGGTACTTAAGGAAAAATGAATCATGCACAGAGACCTGCTATTTTCTTTATGCTTCACATGTAATACCCCTGAGTTAGGACACCCCTGAGTTATATCAGCAAGGATATACCCTAAACTAGCTGGTATCACCTGCTAGAGTGCTCAATGGTTGGTAGAAAAAAATGTAAAGGAAATACATATTGTTCAGTATCTCCATTTTTCTATCTACCAAATGATGTTTTAAATCACAGTATAAATGACAGGGACGTTTCTCTTGTAGTCATAAATAACTGTTATGCTAACAATCAGTTTGAGAACAGTCCAGTTCCCTGTTTGCCACTCAACGTATTTCTTTTCCTTTATTCTAGGCAAGGAATGTATTACTGTCTTGTGGCTGAATCTGTATATTGGTTGAATCTGCTGTGGTGTGAAACTGCAATCCTTCTTTTCTTTATCAGAATGATAAAAGTAAAAGCCCATGTGGCTTGAGCGTATTTCAGCCTTCGCCTCTAAATTAAAGATCATTTTATCCTATGGCAGAAGCATCCCTAATTGATTTACGTTCTTTTCTATATAGCTTTTCCTAAAGGTAGACTAAATCAGAATTCTGATGAATGCTGAATAAATTACTTTCACTTCCTAGATACACTTTCCAGCTCAACTATTAGGATATGAGAAAACTGTCATAGAGAATTCTGCAACTCTTCAGGTTAATTTGTCCATTCAAGAAAAATCCTTATGTGTGTCCACAGAAGCATACCAGGATAACCTCTTGAAAGGCAGGAAAGTATAACATACTGCCCGTATACGGTCCAAGAATCTGTCTAGCTAGGAACAAGCCATTAACTTACAAAAGACTCTTTAAAGAGCGGGGCAGCCAGGCTGCGATGAAGATCAGAAGTGCCAATACAAAAAGAAAGAAGCTAAGAGAACAGTGCAGGTGGAGGGTGCCTCAAAATGAAGATGATGGTAACTGGGAGGCCGATAGAACTTCCTAGAAAAGGAGGACTTAAGGGCGGGTGTGGGGCCAAATGCTTATAATTGTAGCCCTTGTGATATAGAGGCAGGGGACTTCGTGTCTATGGCCAACAAGAGAGGTGGGGCAAATGAAAGAGGAGCAAAGGACGGGAGGAAACTTGAGTCCTCGGACCTTACAGATTATTGCTATTGATAGGTTGAGGAGACATTCCAGGCAAAAAGAGGTTGCTGGAATGGAGAAAAGCACATTTCTATCCTGCCAAGAACAACTCAGTCTGTTTGTTGCAACCCCACATTGGGTCATATAACTGAATGTGTCAGGAAAAGGTCTGACAACAGTAAAAAGTTTCAAAAACAAAAGTAATTCAAGCTTAGATACCCAATGAATCAAGAGCGTTTCAAATGACTGCACGGCAACTTTGGATGAACACACATTTGCACTTTGTGCTGCGCACACCATCACACCACATAGCACCAACAAGTACTGCCTGAAACACCTCATTTCAGACTCAAGACCATTTTACGTTATGAACTCAGTGCGGTTATTATACATTTAACAGTTTCATATTTTTAGACAAGTGTGATGGTTTAATTGTAGAAACAAAGACTTTTAATATTTCCTACTCATTCCTCAACAAGTATCAAATTAATCTTCGAACTGTACTGAGTTTGATGTTTAAAATTGCCGGTTGAGTTGTTGACTTGAGTTTCATTTTTTAAAAATCAGTAGGGGCTAGAGAGAGGGCTTAGCAGTTAAGAGCACTGGCTGCCCTTCCAGAGGACCCAGGTTCAGTTTCCAGCATCCACATGGCAGCTGACAACTGTCTGAAACTACAGTTCCAGGGAATCTGACACTTTCAACCCAATGCACGTTAAATAAATTATTTTTTTAAATCAATAAATAAATTTTGGCTAAATAATTTCTAGAAATATCTGAAATTACCCTCAACATATTTCTGATGCTTTATAGTATGTATTTTTATAAACAGAATTTTCAGTATTAATGACTATAAATTATCAATTAACTCTGATAAAGGTTTTCTGCAGTTTCAAAGCTTCAGTCAAGATTCAATTCTTTATGTAAAAATAAGCATACCAGCTCATTAGTATGCAAAATTTGTTTTGATCTATTATAAATAATAAAAATATATGTAAACCAAAGAATTGTTCTAAAATATATATGATTTGTTATGAGTGTTTGATGTCTATACCTGTTTTTATACCTCAACACCATTATTTTTTTTTGAAGTCTCATGTGAAAAAGGGTCACAGATAGAGTCACAGAAAAGTAACTCAAAGAAGCTTGAACTCTGTGACAGTGGTGGTCACTCAGTAACAGCTCATCAGGAGGATGGGCTGCAAAAGAGCTGAAACCATGTGATCGAAGGGGCAAGCGCAGCAGCAAGGGGAATCGGTAAGAGAGGCTGCTGGCTCCATCAGGGTTTCTGACGCTGTACTGGTGTTAGGGGTCAATTGAGGCCACGGTGAAGCTTCCAGGTGAAGTCACTTGTTAACAGTTCCGAGGGTTAAAACCTAAAACCAAACTGAGATGTAATACAATTGAAAGATGTAATACAATCTTGGCCCCCATAATTACTGCCAGCTAGCTACACTGGCTCTCTGGCACAGCACTGATCTTCTACACATGTGATTGAATGTTCTAGAATTCTATTTAGAAAATCGCTTTCCTGCTGGAACTACCTGTAACTGGGGTTGGGGTGTGAGAGAAACCACAATACTCATGAAAATAATACTAATAGTCCTAATTACATAAACGAAGTTGGGCACAGTGGTGCACGCCGGTGATCCCAGCACTCAGGTAGGCAGAGGCAGGCTGATCTCTTCAAGTTTGAGGCCAGCCTGGTCTACAAAATGAGTCCAGGACAGCCAAAGCTTTATAAAGAAACCCTGTCTCAAAAACTAAAATATGCAAAGGAAATACTGCACTCGTCCAAGAGCCAAATGCCCATCCTGGGGTTGGAGAGGCAGGGTTATTTGACTTTTTTTTTTTTTTATCAATTACTATATTCAGAGCATGACCTAATGCTTATTTAATAAAAAAAAATAGCTAACTTGAATACATATGTATCTATATATGTAATCAAATTCTAAATCTAAGTGGTCTCAAACTTAGTGCACATCAATGTAGCATTTTTATTTAAAATTTAGACTAACTACTTCTAACTCTAGAATTTGCATCACTAACAAGACTCCCAAAGGATACTGTTACAGCAAAGAACAACTAGATGTCAGTCAAGCTCTTTGACCAGTGTGCCTGCCCTTCTCAGGTGTTTAATATGTGTTGTAATGAATCCCTGTGTTTTCAATACACAATGGACAATAAAGCACATATTTTAAACCCTTGAAATACTCAAGTATCTCAAGTCTTCCTAATAAGGCCTGTAACTTATGTGTTTTCCTTAGGCATCAAAGCACATTTTCTTTCAAAACTCTTGTTAATGCTTTGATTAATCATGTCCTTGGTCCTTCTACTGAAAACATTTTAATGACCAATATAACTTTGTATGTCTCTAAACACATTCTGCAATTCCCAAATTATTTAAATCATTTGTATACACAATTTTGTCAAGACCTAGCTAGTATACAGGTACTTTTTAAAAAGTTAAGTAGTTACTTTATAAGTATACCTAACACTTCAGTGTGATCTGCCAGCACTGCCTGGTAACTTTCTAAGCGCTAGACCACGTATGTATACACCTGGAGACAGAGACTATCGTGGCTTACAAAAAACTGCTCTAGCATCCTTGTCTATTTACGGGCTTAGTGTCTTCTTAGGCTTCTCCATCCGAGCAGCTACTTTAAGGTTTTAATTGAGTCCAGTACCCCAATCAAGCAGATGTTAGAGAGTAGTTTATGAAGTGCATGAATGGTTAGGTTGATATATATTCCAGACATGAAAAAAAAATCGCATGGCTGCTAAAGAAATAGACTTTAAAATATGTTAAAAGAATTATCTCCTGAATGTGCTTTTTTTTCCCAAACATTAGACCAAGGTGGATTGTTTACAAAAATTTATTCATACAAATTTTACACACTTTAAATAACAGTTATCAAAGTCCTAGTTATAGATATTATGTGTGTAATAATGCTCGGTTAATATGTTTGTATAATCAGTTGCACACAAAATAAGAGCTTCAAGACTAACATCTACCTATATCATAAATCTGCTTCAGTTTAGTAAGGCTCTTGGCATTTCTAAAAAGTATACAAAAGATTAAATTGAGTGATCACTGTAAAATGCTTGCCACTAGCCACGTGAACACTAAGTTAGACTTCATAAATAAAAGGTTCACTAGAGCCCTGTTTCACCACTAACAGCTGACACAAATACAGAGAACGCTGCCCATTATCCAAGAAACAAATAATTAGGACTAAAACGCAAGCCGATGTGTTGCAGCATTGTAGGGCCACTAAATAGCCATCTGTGATTCGTGGCGATTTAAAAGGCAAAGAAAGGCACTAAAGCTGCAAACTGCATCCCGAGTCACATTGCCTGAGGAGACTGCAGAATTAGAGATTGATCCTGTAGCTGGACACAGGCTGAGATCCAATGCCTGCCTTCTCTGTTTGCAATGTGATCTCGAGGCAGCATTCATCCACCCGCCTGGGAATGCAAATACAGTTCTGTTTTCTTAGATGCCTGACTTCATACTAATCAAATCTGTACAGGAAAAAGGAAAAGACCTTTAAACTTTACAAACTAATGGGTTTTTTTTTCTTGTTTTGGTATGGTTTGGTTGTTGGGTTTTTTTTGGGGGGAGGGTGTTATATTTTATTTGTGCCTAAAATTTAGGAGACTGGCTGGTTTGTTGCTGCTTGATCTGATTGCTGGGTGAAGGTTCTTTTGTTTATAAAGATTACTCCATATATGTTCAAGAAATTGACAAGAAACAGACATGCTTTCTTTAGCCAAGACCGGATACAAGGGTGGGGTGTGGAGCGTTCTTACTCCACTCTTGACCACAGATGTAAGATAGTACTCATACATATGAAGATGAGGTTTAAATGATTTATCAGTTAGTCAAACTGAGCAACATTGGAACACTACACATTCTTAATATGACAAAGATTGGTTTTATGAAATCAATTTTACTAAGCAATAAGCCATAATATAGAAAAATACATTTTACCTACAAACTCAATGAACAAGAAATAAGAGTTTCATATTTAGTGCATAATTACTTTGTGGTAGCTACACAGGGGTTCCTAAACTTCACAGTAACTGCTTGCATCAAACAACAACAAAAAAAATAAGTAGCATTCACAAATTTAAGATCAGTGAGTGAAAATGACAAATGATTCTTAAACTATGCGGGGGGGGGGGGGGAAGGGTAGGAAGGAGGGGTCTCCAGAAAAACCACAAAGAACAGGGGTGGTTTCTGCAGAGCAGGGCTCAAGGGAGAAATCCTGGCCACTTCACAAAATGAGAAGCATGGACAGCACTGGAGAAAAACACATTGTACTTTGCACTCATTTCCAATACCCTCACCCAATCTGTCCGGCAGTGGAGTCTGCAGAGGGGCTGGGCTTGCCCTCAAATTCTCAGACCTGGGGCAGTTCTCAAGCCAGTCCCCCTCTGCAGGGTCCTCCTCCGTCACCCCGCTCTGCCTCTTCCCATCGCCTCTGTGTCTTTCACTCTGTTCCAATTGCCCTAGCCTTGGGATAGATAAGTCGGTTCCCTGGAGAATCGGGAAGTACAGAAAAGAGAGCTTCTTTCCAAGCCGGTCTCCTCTGTACGGTTCCCCAATCCTGCTCGCAGGGAATGACGTGAATTCTGGGGGGAAGTACAATTTGGACTGAGCTGTTGCTTAGTTAGAATTTCCTTCTGGGCTGAGAGTCTGAGGAGAGACCAGTAGACATAAAAATATAATCAGAGAAAGCGAAAGTGTTAGAGTTGCCCAGCAGCCAATGGGACAATGCCCACTTGAGTTAGTTAGGCTGGGGTTTAAGCAGCCTGCCCCAGAGACTCGCAGGGAAAGAAAGCCCTTCAGCAATTCCCCAAGTGGTTACCTCAGAATTCCCCTGGAGCAGGGCATCTTTTTTTTTGTTCAATTGGCCTTTATTGGAATCTTGAAGCCTGTTGTGGATAAAAATACTATCCTTTAATTCCAGTTTACAAAAATAGGAGTAATATTCAAAACAATGATTGTCTATATTTTTCTATTCATTTTATATAAAAACATAAACAGCTCAGGCGAATTTTCAATCCTTGTGCACGCTTTATGAATTGCTCTCTTTTATACTTATATATTCTTAATATATATATATATTTATAATATATATCAATAATTGGTCCACAAAGTATATCTGTGCATTCTCTAGTGCTTCGTAAAAAGAAAAACAATATTATTATCAAAATATTCATTTAATGGCTTTACTTGATAATAAATACATGTTTGGAAAGAACACATGAGCGATGACCGGTCGGTTAATTTGGAAAACGACTTTTCATTTTGTACACATGGTAGCTGGAAACCCGTCGCTACAAGTACGCTATTCGGCGTCCTTTGTTCTTAACCCTCTGTTTATACCTTTTCCCTAGCACGGCCGCCAAGTATTTCTTGACAGCCATTTGTTTCCGGTAGCGGCTGTAGCTATCGGTGAAGATGCCGTCGGAGTGGCGCTTGGTGAGGGGCGCCCGGTCGTCCGCCGCGCCGCCGCCCAGGTTCTCGCTGCAAAGGAGAGGGGGGCGGGGCAGGAGACATGTTAGGGGGAGAACAAGTGGGCCCTCCCCCCCCAGGCGGGAGCCCGCTGGGAGCGCGCAGCCCCCCTCTGCCACCCTGCCCAGCTGGCCGGGACACCGTGGCGGACACCCCGGAGTCCCTCCTTCCCACCCACAGCCTCCCGGCACTGGATCTTTCAGACCTCTCCAGATCTTGGCGAAGCACCCCCGGGGCGTCCGGGGAACCTGCGCTCTCCAAGCAGGACTGCACTCTCCGCGCCTCCAGCTAAACCGTACCTTTCCACCACCTGACACTCAAGAACCCCTAAAAGCCTCCCTGGCTCCTGCCAGGTGGCGGGTTCCGCAAATCTAGGCGAACACCGGGCACGCCCCTCTCTCTTTGCGCCAGTTAAGTTGAAAAACGTGATAATGATACGAGGCGACAGGCTGCAGGCAATATTTCTCGCCGCATGAATTATTCATGGTTAAAATGTAATCGGAGTCCCCTTGGGCTTTATTAAAATGTTGCCTTCTGCTGACACAGGCTTCATGCAAGACCTTAGCTCTGGTTTTGTCTGGCGTGAGCAAAAACTGTTTCTTTAATTATCCAAATCTGGAGACTTTGTTCGTTCGGTTTGCCTTGAGAGTAAACGCCAGGCTCCTCTCCTCAATTACGGCAAGCCCTCCCACTAACCTCGAGGGTTCGGGATAAAAGGAAAGGAGGGTTGTCTGGTTTGACTTGGTTCTCATTCAACAAGGATCTGAGCCCCCCATTTCCCTTCCCTCTCGCTCACCCAGTCTATTGGCTCTTAGGGCAAGTTTAAACGCCCAACTTGGAGAACTCCTCCCAAGCCTGGGTATCCTCCTGGTTGCCAGGACGCAGACACACCCCTCGGGCGCACAGGTAGCCGCTGCCCGCCCTCCTCGCGCGCCTTTTGCAGGGGCATCCACCCGGCTTTGAGCATCACTCGCAGGTTAACTCTTTCACAAACTCTTACCCCAGTCTCCTGGCCACGGCCGACTGCAGGTACTTCCTGGCGGATAGCTGGTCCAGGACTTTGCTGTAGGCTTGGTTAAGGATCTCTCTGGCGGGGAGACAAAAGTATGCGACCTTGGTCACTCACTGCCTTGGCCCTTCGAGTGACAGCCAAGGCCCCACTCACTGCTGTGCCTTTAAGGAGGGTGACCCTGCAAGCCCTAGAGACACGGGACCTGGAGGTAACTTAAGGAAGGTCCCGGGAGGAGAACCTAAGATGGGATTTAAGTCCTGGCCTCTGGGATGACCTCGGTGGCCTGAGAGCCCCCGCCCACGGAGTCCCCGCCCACGCTCGCTGACACCACTTGGGCAGCAGAGCTTCCAGTCTGTGGTGCGGCCTACGCCCCACCAGGGTCTGCGGCTCTCCTTGGAAGGGAGTCTTGAGGACTTTCATAGAAAGGGCCCGATTTACAGAGCCCCTACCGGGTCCCTCCTGCCAGGTCAGGCCCAAGCCATAGGCGGAAGGTGGGCGGGACGTACCTCCTTTCCGCTGGGTAGTAAAGGGCGTAGGCGTCACGCAGCGCGGAGGCGGGGCTCCCCACACCCGGAGGGTCCCAGTCGTAGAAGTCTTGCAGCGGATTTCCGTCCTGATCGTAAGCCTGCTCAGCTGGCCTGTGGGATAGCCAAAAGAAGGCTCATTAAAAGTCACCCGGGTCAGTTCAGCCAGGTCCCAAGAAGGTCTCACTGATTTCCCTTCTTCGTTACGGTCCCCCAAGGAGAATTGTTCTTTCTTCCAGAATGGTCCTAGGGACAAGGTAAGGGAACTACACCAGCACCAATTCCTGCCCCTGCCAGGAAACTCGCTCACATCTTCTCCCGGCGAATCAAGGAGCGCCGGTAGGGTCATTGCACGACCCGGTAGCCAGTCTTCCCCAGGTAGCATTTAGCACACGTGAGAAAGATCCTCAGAGAGGATAGGAACGGAGGCAGGGAGACCCAGAGCGGAGTGGGAGGGATGGGTGGGTAGGTAGGATGCAGGCCAGCTCCAGCTGCACCCACCCCCACCCGAGCCGCCCAGCCCAGGGGAGCCCTTCCCCGCGCGGATGTAGGTCACGGAGAACCTCCAGCTTCTATTTTGGGCTGGAGAGAATCTGCTAGGAACATGAATAATAGATGCCCCTAAACTTAGCTGCTTTGGCTCGTTCTGTGGTGTGGCTGAGCGCTCCGGAGCCTATCACCCAGGAGAAGTGCTAGGCACACGGAACTTTGTGAACAGCTGGAGGTGAACGGAACGGAGAGAGCCCGTTAAACAAAGAGTTGCTGCTGGTCTGTGAGCCGTGGCGGGGAGGCTGGATCGCAACCTCAGGGCGCAAGGAAAGGAAGGGGTCCTCTTGGATCATAGTCTCCTCACCTATCGCCTCTATGGCCAACTGGCGGAACAGGATGAACGTGTAAAGCCAGGTGGTTTGGGGCCCCTGGAGATACTGGCAATGCCATCGGGACAAATTACGTTCTCTAGGCAGGGTCCAGTCGTTCCTGGGCCTCTCCTGCCTTCGCGCACTACCGGGAGAGGCCGGAGGAGCTCCTCCGCACCGCCCACACCCAGCCTTTTCCCCCACGGTGTGCCGGGAGCCCAGGCTCCTGAACCACGGTCTTTCTGGCCACCCTCTGCTCTACCCTACACCCAGCGGCCGGAATCCTGAAACGGAAACTGAGGTTCCTGCCTGCCAGAGCATCAGTGCGCAGAGGCCCCCTAAGGCAGAGGTTCCCGGGCGCGGCTCCGAGAGCCAGCGCCAGGTACTCCAGGCTTGTCCTGAGTGCCGCTCGGCCCCACGCGTTTCCGCTGCCCCGCATGCCCACGGGCGAGAGGTGCTGGGGCTGCGGTAGAGAACCGGGGCAGCGCCTCACGGTTAGAACCAGAGGCCAAGACAAAAGCCAGGTTTCCTGCTTCCTCAAGTAGGCTAGGCTGTCCTTCCAACCCCGCACGCCTGCTAGCTTTCTCTCCCTCCTTCCCCGCTGCCTCCCAAGTAGCTTTTCCTTAACGGCGCGTGGCCAACACCCCCACCCAGAAGACGTTCCGGGGCTCCAACTCCAGCTGAAACAGGATACGTTTGAAAGAGAGCTCTTCCCGTGGACGTGGAAAAGAAGTCGAACGTGCCAACGGGAAGGGCGGAGGAGCGGGAGACCCCGCCCCAATAGTCTGGAACAGGCAGTAACAAAGCGGAGAGAGGAGAGCCTCCCTCCCAGCCCCGGGCTTTTGCTCCGGGAACTGGAGTTCTCCAACTCACCCTAAGAACAGATAAAAGAAGCTACGAGGGGAGGGAGGGAGCACCCTGTCCCCTTCTTTTGTACAAGTTGGAGGAGGAAAGATTTCTACAAGGCTCGGAAACCCACTCTCTTTACCTGGGTCGCTAGTTAAGAGGATCCCAGCAGTACTAGAGCCTTCCGGACCCTCCCCCGCACCCCCTCCCGGCTTAGCTAGGAACCCCCTACCTAGCCAAAGGCTGTATTAAAAAAAAAAAAAAAATGCCCGACGCGCTCAGGAAGCGATGCTTAGCGGCCGCCGACCCGCAGCTGCAGGGAGGTGACGGGGAGGAGGCGTCTGGAGATGGGAAGAGGTAACTCCCGCTAGGCTCGCACTTACCTAATCCCGGGGAAGCTGAGTCCGGCAGGTGAGCAGGAGCCGCTGCTGTGCATCATTATCCCGTAGACCAGCAGGGCCAGCCTCGCTCCGCTACACATGGTCATTCTGCGCAGGAGGGGAAAGAGGGCAAGCTGTGAGTGCGATCGCCCCTGGCTTTCCACGTCCTGACCCCGCGGAACTCCTGGGAGCTGGGGAAGCCAGCGGAGCTGCGGCTCCCTGGGTTCAACACCACTTAGCCACCGCGGGCGAGTCCAGCCACTGTGCCCTTGGTATAGTTCGGAAAAGAAAAAAATATATTTATATATTTATATATATATAGCTCTGTGTGTGCCCAGCACCCAGGAACTAGTCCGATCTCGAACTAAAGGCTAACTCGTACGCTGACGCGGCTGCCAGCGCGTGGAGGGAGTCTGCGGTTAGCATGGTAAGAATCCCGCTCCCCAACCCCCCGCCCGCCGCCCTCCCGCTTCCCTCTCAGACTCTTACCGCGGCCGGGAGAGGGTTGGCTGCCAAGTAGGACGGAGGGCAAAGGGCTCCTTCGAGTTTTCTGCGCTGGAATCACAACTCACTGTCTGGAGCTGGTGTCTGGAGAGAAGCCGCGGAGATTAGCTGGAGGAGCTGGGGGGACTTGTTTGCTAAGATTCTGCCCAAAACTTTGTAGACGCACTGAACTAGGAGGGAGCGTGACACCCGAAGGAAGTGGGCGAGAAGAGAGATGTTGAAGACAGAGTAGGCGAGCAGCCAAAGGGAGGGGGAGCAGAGTGGACTTAACGCCACAGGGAGGAGAAGCTGGTAGGTAAGAAAAAGAGGGAAAGTCAATGAAGAAGGGGAGAATGGAAAAGGAGAAGGCTAGCCCAGGCTGCCGGCCTCCGTGGAAGACAGCTTGCGGGAACTGGAGGCACCTTCTCTGCTCCGAGGTCTCCGGCTGCGTCTGAAGATGCAGCAGCCTCTGCTGCTGCTGACAGGTGACCGGCGGCCTTCTCGTATTTATAGAGCCAGTTAAACCAAAAAAGGCTATCTATCGGAACGTGGCTTCACGAGATACCCTCTTTGTCAACATCTGTCTGAAATTGCCTTCAAGCACAGAATATTTTGGTTGCACTGTTGCACTCGATTTTTATTCATGATGTGACTTCCTTTTTTTTTTTTTTCAGCCGCATATCGGCATCAGTAAAAGACGTCAGCAACCTAGTCCCTCAAGGACCCATATCAACTATATCACCCAGGATGATGAGATCCGGAGTCATCAGCTTCTAAAAACACCTTTCACTCATACAATCCAATGTTTAAGAAGTCCAATTATTTTGATGGTTTTCAATTTCACCCATTTCTCAAAGACAAGAACTCGTAGACAATTTCTCAAAACAAGAACTCGTAGAATTTAGGGCATAGTGAAGTCGTGTTTTTACTGTGTCTCTGCTTCTTTTGACGTTTTACTCACCCCCATCCAGCAAGGACAACTCTGATCTCTAGAATTAAGCGCCATCAGGCTCTCCTATTAATAAATTTAATTTAGATCTCCTAATTTCTTGCGTGTTCTTTTCCAGATAGGCAGTCAAATGTGGAAGCCGTTTTGTGTTTTAAAGGGAAGTCTGAGAGGATTTTCAGTAACTATCTAATGAGTCTGCTTGACTCTGAGTAGACTGAAGTGGTCTCTGATAGATGGGACAGGGGCGTCGCTGTCCAGGTGCTGAACTGTTTGGCCGCAGATGCTTCAAATGCTGAAAATCGCTGGATTTTCACCACAGCCTCTAAATCTGAAGGTTCTGCAGTGGTGCTCTTACTGTGGCAATTAATTGTTTAAATCACCCGGCTATTTATGTTCATCTACCCTTGCATTCTGTGTCCACGAATGTCCCAGTGCTCAGAACCTTCTTAACCCCTGACTTAGAGTTCAGTACAGAGCATTGATTTCTTAGTCCTGGTGTTTGGGGTCTCTACCTTCCTTTCCTGCACACTTTCACGCCCTCTGTGGCTCTTACTGATTTTAAAAATTGAAACCATGGCATCGTGTTTTCTGCAAGAATTGAAATTTTAAGAATGTGAGGGTGAGAAATTTGTCTCTAACATTTCCCTTACAAGTTGAATTCTGCTTAGGGAAATGCAGACTGGAATGCAGGAAGATTCCCAGCACAAGTTTTCTTGGTGATGGTTGCTACCAGGAACCCTTCCCTAGGAATAGTTAACATTTCTAACTAAAAATAAAATGAGGAGAAGAAAGCAATAAGAAAAGACCACATCTACTGGGAACCTCCTGAGGCCCTGAGTAATTCCAGAAGATTCATAAATCTCTGGTCCATGAGGAGATATTGAGCGTCTTTTTTTCCCCCAAGGGGAAATAAATGCATCAATAACCATTAGTGTGCATATTAACTATTTGGATCTTATACACACGCAAAAAAAAAATTAAAGGCAATTACAATTAAGTAGGAATGTTTCCTGTGCTGTGGTTTGGGGCTAGTGTTTAAATAAGCAGTTCTGAGTATGTTTTCCAAAGCATAGGATTTCTCACTTTTAATATTATCCCCGCTTTTTTTTTTTTTTTGAGGTTTAATACTTCTTCCAAGAATCAAACTTTTTCCTTATCTCCTGACTTTTGAAATAAGCTGCCTGTTTCCCTCTTCGTTTCCTTCCTAGTTTAGATTGCCTGCTATCAACAAACTACTTCCATTTGGGGGACTTCTCTTTGTGTTGTGTTATATCTGTCTGCTACTTTAGTTTAGAGTGTCCATGTACCTGAACTATGTGCTCAGTGGCCACCTTCCTGGGCCCTCACACAAAGAGCCTACAGCAAACAGGAAAGATAATCCAGCAGAGCTGCTTTTCTTAACAAACTTGCCCAGAGCTGTTGCCTACAGTGGCTTTCCCAGACTTCTGCCTCTTTGCAAGTCAAAGGTGAACCCCATTAAAATTCTCACGTTTGCCTCCCACTTTAATTCTGAAATGAGTTCAATCTGCAAAAATATTTTTAAATCTCCAGGACTACTCATTTAAAATTCACCATTCAATGTCCAACTTTAGTCAAGAGAGCCACCGTGTGGGGAGTTTTGTTGACTTCAAAAGGTCTATTAAAGGAAGAATCCACAAGCAGAAAAAATAAGCAAGCCTCCAAGTGCACTAGCTTGCTTCCAGCTCACCAGTGTTTTGCTAATCTCGCTCCCTGGACCTGAGTGCCCTTAGAGGTTACTCAGGGTCTAACACCCTACAATCACACAAGCCAAGGCTGACTCCTCTCACTAGGGTGAAATACTCAGCAGAGAATTTGAGGCGGTTGGTGGCAAAACTCCAGAGACCTTGTCTTTCTGGTGTCTCCTAAATCCTGCCTAGCCCTGCCCTGCAGGAACCTAAGGGCTAAAATCTGAGAGCCCTTCCAGGCTTATTTTCATAGCCAATAGGCATCTTTAATTGGGCAAGTCTGGTCTCTGGAGATGAGGGAAGCATTCTATTGAGAGTTCTGAACTGAGGCCCTGGTCAGAAATATTGGGGGAAGGGAGAAGGCTGAACCCTGGGCTGATGAGAAGTGAAGAAGGCTGTGGGAGAGAAAAAAAAATAGTAACCTAATGTGGGCTGAGGTTCTGAGAGCTGTGTGTGTTTGGAATTGTGTCCCATTTGGTCAAAGCCATCCAACAGAGCCCGTTCTGCTTTGATTACAGGGTGATATCGCAAAGACAAAGCCTGGCTTCTTAACTACTCCTCACAGGGGTAGGCGTTTGCCAGGAATCTAAGGGATATTCCAGTGTAGTCTTAAAACTGCTGTGTCTGGGAGGCTTTTGAGTTTGGTTTGGAGTATTGAACCTACAGGCAGAAAACAACCATCAGCCAAAAAAAAAAAAAAAAAAAAAAAAAAAGAGCTTCCCACCTACAACTGTCCACACTAACTGGTGTGCCAGCAGAGACTGGATAGGAAAACAAAGGCAGCCACATACACTTGCTAATTTAGGAATGTATGGGGCAGCTTGAACTAAAACACAGAAAGGAGCCTGGGCAAGGGAACCTCAACTAAACAGCTGCTCCTGGGAAGAATAAGGAGAAGGGAAGAAGAGAATGTAGAGGGAAAAGATCTTGTGATATTTTGGTTTTTTTGCCCAATTTCTGCCCCCCCCCCAAAAAAAAATTTTATATTCTGCTAAAAGTGACTCAGTAAAGAACATGAGGAAATTCCAGATATCTTATATATAGTTGCAAATGGGGGTTAGGGTCAGACTTGCTATTTAGATAGCACAAAGGAATGGAAAGCCTTTCCCCCCATACTCCTTTCTCTTCATCCTCATGGTTTGGTAGACTTCCCAAGCTGACAGTTTCTCTCCAGACTATGAAATCCAGGAATGTTATACTAGGTGGAGTCATATTATCATAGAAAATATAAAAGAGCCAAAAAAAATCTTGTAATACAAGCCTCCATCACTGTCCTCCAACAGGCAGCGACTAGAGGTATCTGAATCTAAGCCCCCATTGACCTACCTGGAATACACTATTCAGAAATGTTTATTGGAAGTGAGGAAAAGACCGTAATTTCAAGTTCCTAATAGTTTAGCTCCTGTTTGTCCTTCAGATGTGAAAACAAGTTTTGATCCAAAACAATGAGCAAGCTAAAAGTCAAATTAATACATTCTCGAATGAATTGTTTCTCCTGACACATGTGCATTTCCGAAGGTGGGAGCCTTAAACACTGAGTCAATCACTCAATTCAAAGAACTTTTTAGCCTTCAAAGTAGTATATTTTTGTATTGAAACAGTTCTGGTCTTTTGAAACATGCCCCCTATTCAGAGTTTTAATTTGCAAGTGGTTTACCATTAGCAAACACAGTAGCATTTGCAGGGTCCTGTCTGTCAATCAAATTACTGCTCTTTGAGTCATTTCCACCTAGGGAATTGTTGAGTAGGAATCTTCATCCAGCAAATCCATGGTGAGTTAAATTATCTTTTTTCCTTTTTGCAGACCAGTGAAGTGGGGCTCAGTTTCCCAGGTCAGGTGATTTCTACTTCTTTCCAGTCCAGTCACTCAGTACTCAGTACTCAGTACTCCTTTGTGTCCCTTTTTTTGGCTTAACTAGTTAGCTCTCTACATTGCCCATTACCACGACTGTCTCTATGCCCTCCTCCTCCATTTTAATCATATAAAAAGGATATGTTTGCACAAAGCATCTTTACACATTTCTAACACAAGAAATATTCAATAAAAGCTTCAAAAACTATGTGTTCTTTTTTTATTCTTTTCTAATTGCCACTTAGCATAAGGCCCAAGCTATTGTGAGCCTTTTTGGTGAGCAAGCCTAATGCAGAACATCATCCTCCCCTGTGAATGACAGAAGTGAATTATAAGCCTGGATTCAATTGCACTCTAAACTTTTTTCCTCTTCTGATTCTTCCACAAAATGTGATGACTAATGAGTCACTTCATACTGATTCCACCTGAAGGGGAACCCAAATGTTCTGCCCCAGAACATCATGACCATGGCTTAGTTTGCTGCCTGCATCATGCTCTTCTGAACTCACTGTGAAGTAAGGAGATGAGCTAACCCATAATGTGTCATGACTTCTCTGACCTTCAGAATGCAGTGCCTCCCACTCTGAAAACAAGGAAAGGGAGCCTTTCCAAGCCACACGAGCAAAGCATTTCTCTCTAATCCAAGAAAAGAATTGCATATTCACATGGCTAAGAAATTTGCTGATTTTTGAGACACAAAACAGATAACACAGAGGACAAAAACTAAAAAGTATTGTGTTGCGGAGTTAGGTAATTTCTTTTTGGCTTTTCAAGGCAGGGTTTCTCTGTGTACCTTGGCTGACCTGGATGCAATTTGTAGACCAGGCTGGCCTCAAACTCAAAGAGATATACATGCCTCTGCCTCCTCGAGTAATGGGATTACAGGTGTGCACCACCATGCCCAGCTGGAGCTAGGTAATTTAAATAGCTCCATATATATCTCTTCTAAAGCCTAATCAGCTGAAGATTAATCTACTGGGCACCAAAAACTGTAACCCAGACATAACTAAATGGCTCCTGCCAAATTCTCCAGAGATTTCTAAAAACTACTCTTTTAAAATCAAGAAGAAAGCATTTTAATTTCAGCTACATCCTCTGCTCACATAAGACATAAATATAAAAGAAAAAGCTTGAATAATATCCAGGAAATTTAATATCCTATAAATGAATTTCACTGACAGCT